GTCTTATTCTGCGTCTGCTGCGATAATTTAATGAGACTGCAGCCGCCTTAACCTCCGATCATGACATGTAAATGCTGCAGGATGAAACCCACAAACTACATGAAACACTTCAAGCATTCTCACCAGCTTTTGGCCAAATCGGTGCTTTGACATCAATGTTATGCAGTTATGTGGCGGAACGACGGGCGGCATCACGTGAAGGTAACTCGACAATCACAGCATGAGGCGTGAAGTTTGACCTCCTGACCTCATCAGCAAAGTGTTTACTGAGGTCATGATTCACAGATGCTTTTTATATACATGTAATTCTTTTTACAGCTGGATGAGTCGCCCCCTGGTGGCCACTGATGAAGACTACTGCTGGAGGATGGGTTAAACTTCGCCCACACCTTTGTGTGACTTCCTGTGTCACTGCCTCCCACTGTCTGGCCTACTCTCTGTACTATAATGTAAAAACATGTTTAATCAAAAGAAAACTGGTAAGACCATAGAGAGGAACCTTTACTGGCGGTCTCAGACCTTTGACCTTTGACCTATGTGAATAAAATCCGTCCATCGCACCTGCAGCTGAACTGACCCTCAGCTCACTGTACAACGAATGCCGTGCTGTTCTCACCTGAGCAGATCACCTCAGTGGTGAAATCTGAGATGCCCCTCTTCACCGCTCCGCAGTCCGTGAGCGCTCGCTCAGAGCCGTCGCAGTCCGAATAAAAGCTCCAGACGCGCAGAACTTTGGGCCGGTGCCTGACGTTTTTGACTGAAACAGCAGAGCCGCAGTCGAGCTGTCTGCACGCCACGCCGGCCTCCTTCAGGCTCCAGGTGCGCTGTTTGCTCAGCTGTCTCCACTCTGCCTCGTGCTTGAACCTCAGCTCGCCGGCACAACGGTTCCCTTTGCCAACCAACCTCACATCATTGGAAGCTGCAACGAAATCATCGGCAACAAGACTCAGTCCATCAACGAGCTGCGACACTGCAGGAGGACACGATGACTGCTGCTGGAAGTAAAACTCACCGAATAACCCTGAGAGGGCTGCACAGCGCCTCCATGCTGACAGAGGTTGATAGAAATCTAGCCGCTGTGCAACAACTCGAGCTGAACTTCTTCAGAAATGTTGGTGTTTGATTGTTCTAGCTCGCTCTTCTCAACGCCAGCGGCTTTTTTGAATTGTTTTTACGCTTTGACCTAATCGTGTAAACCGAGTGAATGCTCCCGTATTTAAAATAAAGATGCTTTTTTATTTACTGTGCACGCTGCTCTGAGTACAGAATCGATTGAGTTTAGCGACTGAGTCTGTGATGGAGTTTAAAGTGTTTGTGTTCAATGATTAACACACTGCTGTCGCAAACACTGACCCACTGACAGGCTTGTTCAGCTTTTAATCAGATCGGCCGTCCTGTAACTGTGGTGCACAGAGAGCATAAAGATGCAAAAGTACTGCTACATAACATAAGTCAGGAGTGTTTGCCCTCCAGCGTACTTTCCAAATAAAGCTCTTTAACTGGACGATAGATGAACTTAATTTATCCCAGAGCTGGAAAACTCCCTCGGTTTAGTTTTTCTGACTGTGCATCAGAAACAAAGAGGAAGGTGAAATGAATTTACTTCTGCCTGCAGGTTTTGCAGACTGTAGCTCAGCTTAGTGACAAACAGAAGAACAAACGACAGCCAAAGAGAAAACGATGGAAGAATTACAGCTGGGAGACGTGTTTATTCGGATTTAAAGTGAAAGGGACTCACCTGTGGAAAATTGTGCTCCTGCTGGCCTTAGAGCCCAGCTCAGCATCAGCACACAATAAAACACAAGTGACGACCACGTGAAGACCCAGCTCTGCACTCTCATGTTGCTCTGACTTCACAGACCTGCACCAACACTCGGGTTTGTTGGCTCACTCTGCAAATACAGAGTGCGTGCTCTGCTTTAAACACAGCAGTGTTTGCTTTGAATGGTCAATGCTTCATGATCGTAGTTCATAGTTCATATGGTAAACATGTTTACAGCCTGACACAGAAACAGCTGTGGTCTGTAATTTCCCCGTCGTAGCAGCCGTACAAAACATTTCTATATCTGTTCACAGTGTTGTTCTCAAACATGTTGTCTGCCGTGTGCTT